TTAAGTGTGACAAATATGCAAAAAATTTAAAAAACAGGAAGGGGGCCGACACTTTTTCACACCACTGTACCTATCACATAAAATAACTCATGGGAGTGTGGGCATCACATGGTCTTAGCTGTGGTCCAGGTTCATGTGCAGGCAGGAATCTCCGAGCCTGTGGAACATGTCAACGTCACTCTCTGTTTTCCATGACCGAGTGGGCTGCTTTGCTTTGGCTCTCTTTGCAACCGGTTCTTTTACACTGTTATTCTCACATCTGAAATAAAAAAAGTAAGCATGCTGTTTACACAAACTACATTATTAACATTATTGTGATGTTCACTGATACTAGTACTTCCTAGATGGATCCCTGTTAACTGTTACGGACCAATTTATTTCTCTTTGAGTAGGGATTTAACTCGCTGTTCGTAACAAATGAGGGCTCGTCCTCTTGTTTTTTGTGGACAACAAGTGGAAGTTTGTTCGCCTAGTTGACTTTTCTTGTTTGTTTTGAACGAGTTTTATTGTTAATGAATGTCTAAAATGTACCATTTTTGGTCTCTTTTCAGTGGGTAACAATTGTTTTTATTTATCTTGTTTTTAAGAAGGTAAAAAGCATTGAGTGAATATGGAGCTAGATATTGGAGCATTTGTTTCTAAACCTAGTATACAGCAATTTGATGCGTTTTGTAAAAAAGATCTTTTGCAAATTGCTGAAACTTTGAATATTTCTGTGTCAAGTTCTGCAGTGAAGAAAGTAAAGCTGAAGTGTATGCTGAACTTGTTGAAAAAGGGTTACTGTCTGCAGAAACTGATTTAGAAGGTGAAGAGGAAAAAAGTGATGGATTAGAGATGGGTGGAACAATTGATTTTCCCTCATCTAAATCAGACCCTTTGCTGCTTTTTAAATTAAAAGAGCTAGAATTGCATATTAAACGACAGGAGCACGAGAATCGTATATTACATTTGCGTGAACTTGAAATGCTTCATGACGAGAAAGACAAAGAAAGGGAGCATGCACGAACCGCTATTTCACCTGCTGTAACTTCTATGCATGTAAGTGTGCCTCAAACTGATCAGCCTGTAGAGAATGTTATACATAGGCCTGCTGCTGTAATTCCATTTGATCCTAGTAAGCATATTAAGCTTGTACCACCGTTTCGTGAGTCATATGTGGGCGTTGATGTCGCAGTGCAGTCTGGTGGGTAGGGCACAAGAGGTGTGTTCTGCTTTACCCATCGAATACTCTCTTAATTATGACGTGGTAAAAGCGGCTGTTTTGAGAGTTTATGAACTTGTTCCTGAAGCATAAAGGCAGAAGTTTCGTAGTTACATCAAATCAACAAAGCAAACGTTTGTGGGTTTTGCACGTGATAAAAAAATGTTGTTAGAAAAATGGTGTGCTGCATCTAAAACAACTACGTTTGATCAGTTGCAAGAACTGTTTTTGTTGGAGGACTTCAAGAACGGTTTGCCAGATAACTTAGTAACTTACCTTAATGAGCAAAAAGTGAGTTCCCTTTCAGCTGCGGCAGTGTTAGCAGATGAATATATGCTTACTCATAAGACTGCCTTTTCTTCTGCTACTGGTCAGAATTATGGTATGTCAGTGTTTTCGAATACTGAGAAACCTTTTTCACATTTTATGAAACCTGTAGCATGCTCTGCAGGGCAGCGTAAGGAACAGGGTAAGAGCTCTGAGAATAAAAGAGTTTGTTTTTATTGCTTAGACCCTGGTCATCTGATTGCTGACTGCAAAGCTTGGAAGAAGAAGAACATCGCAGGGAAACCTAAAAGTGTGGCCAATGTGGTATGTGAACCGATGGTTAATGTTGAAAACCAGAGTTTTTCGGATGTCTCTGTTTTTACTCCTTTTGTGTTCAAGGGTAAAGTAGCAGTTTCTCCTGATTCAATGGTGAAATCCATCTCTATTTTGAGGGATACAGGAGCAGATCAGTCATTCATTCTTGGAGGTGTTACCTTTTTCAAATGAAACTTATACAGGAATGGATGTTTTGGTCCGTGGAATTGAGTTGAGCTGTATAAAAGTTCCCCTTCATACTGTATTCCTGATGTCTGATTTAGTTTCAGGTCCTGTGAAAGTGGGAGTACGTCCAAGACTGCCTGTAGAAGGTGTGAGTTTAATTTTAGGAAACGACCTGGCTGGTGGTAAGGTGTTTCCTTACCCGATTGTGACAAACACTCCTATTTGTGATGTGGAGCTTGTCAGTCAATTCCCGTCAACGTTCTCCATGTGCGCAGTTACTCGTGCACAAGCGCGTAAAAATGAGGATGTAATTGACTTGTCTGATACTTTCCTTGCTTCTGTAGATTCCCCTATTGAACTGTCCCTATCTGTGCATCCCAGTGTGGTTAAAATTGATATGGAGAGTACGTGTACTGGTCAAGAATCTGCTTTGACAATGGGGAGAAATCAACTTGGTAAAGCCCAGAAATCTGATGCTTCTCTGACGCGCTGTCTTGAGGCTGCAAAGAAAGGGGAAGGAGAGGATTCAGATGAGGTGCAATATTTTTGGGATAGAAGTGTGTTGATGTGGAAGTGGTTGTCTCAGAATGCTAAAGAGTCTGGTTTATGTCCAGACTACCAGATTGTTTTGCCTTTAGGTTATCGAACCGCAGTTCTTAAACTTGCTCATGATCATTTGTTATCTGGTCATTTGGGCAGTAATAAAATGTTCAAGCGAGTGGCTAAGTACTTTTATTGGCCTGGTATAAGATCCGCTGTATCAAGATACTGTCGTTCATGTCATACTTGCCAAATCGCTGGTAAACCCAATCAAATAATTCGGCCAGCTCCTTTGCAGCCTATTCCGGTGATGGGAGAGCCATTTGAGCGTCTTATTTTAGACTGTGTTGGCCCTTTGCCAAAGTCAAAAGCTGGTTACCAGTATATTCT